TAGGCTCATGAATTCAGTTCAGCTCATGTCACCTGGATCCCCGTCTCCTGGTAGGATTAACACAAGCAAATTCTCCCACTCACTGGGGGCCCTATTCTGTTATTCACTAGCTACTAACTGAGAACTTAATGCTGGTAACTTTCACTTTGTACCTCCCCAATAGATCTATGAGTTAGTGAAGGAATTTGAGACAATGAGAAATTCAGGGTTTATTTTAGTCAAAGGGAAGCTCTATCCAGAAATAAACAACTGGAATCTTCTGAATGAAGTAGGCAAGCCCAAGAACTCCTATGGCTCTATCAAAAAAATCTAAGGCCCTATCAAAAAACCTCAACTATAATGCATTAAAACGTCTCACTGCCAGGTGTGGTGGCATACGTCTCTACTCCCAGCATATGGAGGCAGTGGCAGGAGGATGACCAGCTTGGGCTACCTAACAAAACCCCATCTCCAAAGGCAAGTAACAACCTCTTTGGAGGATATTTTGAAGTTTTCTTCTTCTAATACAAATTGTAATGCTGAAGAAAAATTCTCATAAAATGCTTCTAGGTAATAAATGAGGCAGAAATGATAGAATTAAAATAGCAGTAAATTGCAGTTCCCAACGAAATAATGACCATGAATGCTGTTTAACATGCAGAGGAACAGCCAAATGCTGTCCTATGACGTATTCATGCCAAAAGAAAACCCCCAAACCAAAAAATAAGCTCCGAATCTGATCAAGCCCTTTCCTGCAGGGCATGCGGAAAGTAGAGGCACATATTCAACAACCTGTAAGGATGAAATCAGCAAATACAGAATGTGGGGTACTCTACAAAAGACCTGTTTGCTTCAACCAACGAGGAGAGGCAGGAAGAACAGAGATAAACTGAGATAATTTAAGAGCCATCTCAACACATCGTGACATGACCTTACCTGGCTCTCACTTCCACAAATGGACGTGTTAACAATCTGTAAGACACATGGGGAAACCTGAACACTGATGGGATATTTAGCAATGTGTAAGAACTACTAACTTTTTTGATATGTGCATGATGCCTTTTAAAAAACCCTTCAGGGGTGCATTTCAACACAAATGTGTAAAACTTTGATGGCTGAGGCTCGTTGTAGAGCCCCGAGTGGGTGGGGAAAGAGATGGCGGCCTGACAGGGCTGGTGCCAGCAGGTGGGTCACACCACTAAATGTGACCATAAAGGTCCCCTTTAAGGCTGGGGCCTCATGTGGATCCGACTCAAAAAAAGGCCATTGAAATATATCGATCAGATACCAGGGAAATGGGAACCCGGTTATTTCGAAGACGGCATTTAAAGGCTCCTATCTCTTGGGAATGTGTATGAAGATGTTCGTGGGTGGAACGAATGGCTGCCTGTGCCAGGCTGCGCGCAGCGTAAGGAGAACAGACCCGTGCGAGCCGAGCACGGCTGCAACAGCAGCGGGTCCGGGCTTCCTTCCGCATCCTCTCCCGGGAGGCCGCTCCTACCCGAGCCGTCACAGTCGGAAGAGGGACGGGGGCCGCAGGAGGCCTCACCTCTACTTCGTGAACCGCACGGTGCGACAGAAGGCTTTAAAGGCAGCGGAACCCACCACTTAATGCAAAGAAACTCTGGGGAGCACCTCCCGCACCAAAGCGTTTGAGGAAGGCCGGCGTGGGCGAGCCTACCAGCAGATCGAGCCCACGCCCTAGGCTCGCCCACGCCCACGCAGCTGCTCACCGCCGCCAGCGAACCCTCCAATGGGGAGCGCGGGAGCAAATGCCTCATATCGGCCCTCCTTCCTCCTCCAATCAGCGAGCCCGCCCCAGCACCTCACGGCGCCAGCTCACAGCGGACGTCCAATCACAGCGCTCCACGTGCCGAGCGCGGCCCCGCGTGCGCGCGCGTTCCCACCCACCTGGGCCCCGCACCCAACAGGGTTCCGCGGGCGCGACAGTGGTTTTCGGCAGGGGCCACACTGCCATCTACTGCCCCGTCGCGGGGATGCAACTGCAGGCGCGGCTAGGCTCTCAGCAAAAGGCCTCATGGTCCAAACGCTCAAGGTGATTCTTTTCTGTAATCCTAGCTACTCAGGAGGCAGGGAGCAGGAGGACCCTATCTCAAAAAAATCCATCACAAAAAAGGGCTGGTAGAGTAGCTCAGGGTGTAGGTCCTGGGCTCAAACACCATTACCAGGAAAGAAAATTAGAGAGTGCAAGTAGTCATGCCGCTCAGAAAAGCAAAGCATGTCTGCTTTGATGAGAGGAGGTAGCAATTACATTCCCTACAGGGTGGGATCAATACTGTCTCCACAGGCCTCTGTTTCTTCCACGCATCTGCTTTCCAAAACCTTTTTTCACCTCAGCGATAAAAGCAAGGGACCGAGGGACCCATCCATCCCACATATTTCTGGGGCACCTGCTGCATGTCAGGCGCTGGGGCAGGTGCCATGGCCATTCATAATTCATGGTTACTGGCATGGGAGGGGGACAGCTGAGAGCTGTAGAACTAGAACCAGATGTCACTCAGCACAAGCTGTGAGAGTAGGAGGGGGAAAGGAGGAGTCCCGACGGGCACGCTGCAGATGCAGGGGGACACCTGCTACAGGGCAGGGAAATCCTCGGGAAACAGGGGCTGTTGCTGCTGTTCCAAGTACTATGGGATACCTACCTGTTGCAGATTATCATCCTCAAGCTTCAGCAAACAGCTGCTGCTTACTTAGGTATCCATGACAAAGTCCCCAACACTGACCATCCTTAACACCAAGACCAGAACAGTGACCTCATCTCCCAGTCTTACTTCACACCTAGGAAAGTGGTAACAGTGAGCTTTCTACAGTGCAGCCATTCCCTTACCTGTACTTCCCTGGCACTCTGCTTCTAATTCATACATGCTACATCAGAACCATCTTTGCTACTAATCACAAGAACAGTGGCTCCCAAAAGGAGTAATATTGGCCCCAGAGAGCATTTCAGTATATGGGGGTATTTTTTTGACTGTCACAGTGACTGTATGGCATCGCTGATACTTTCTGGACAGAGGACAGGAAAACAAATGCTGTGACTTCCCACATCAAAACATGGTCTCTGTTGGGAGGCAGGGCTCCCAGAATGTTAGAAGGGAGATACAAATACAGACTATGGCAAGCTGAGGGAACACCCTGTGGAGATGACTGGGTACTGGAGGTATTGGTATGAACTCATTATTTCTAAAATATATGCATGTTTGTGCATACACACATGTATATATATGTATGCATATGTGTACTCGCACCCATGTTTTTCTGAGTTCTGTCCACTAGCTGGGACAAGCAGCACAAATTCCACAATAGCAAAAGGACCCCTTACACCCAGATCTTGGTTTCTAATGCCACTCCTCAATATAAGTAATCAGAGTCCTTACAGAAAGGGTTGAGTCCAGGGCTGGGGTGGGAAAGGTGGAATATAGGCAGGTAAAATAAAAGGTAGACAAGGAATGCTACAATTTTTTTGTAAGTTTAAAATTACTTCCAAATAAAAAGTTAAAAATTTCCACATATTTGTGTCAGCCAAGGCATGGCAGACATTCATATTACTGAACAAAACAACCGTGCTTATAATCAATGGAACTATTTTACATATAAGCACAAAGTATGTTTTTATAATTGAAACTAAGCTGAACTTTCCATAAATGAAAAGTGAAGATAGACCACTGAATCATTCAGAACTTTACCAAGAGCTGTTCGTTTTGTAAATAAAATTATATCACCATGATAATGCCACTCACAGTATTTGAATTCATCAACATACTTCATCTGTCCCCAAGTACATTTGTCTTTCTAGTACAATGACTCTACATGTAAGGGCAAGAACAGAGCTATTTCAGTGATTTTTAAATAAACTGCCTAAGCATTTATTTGCATTTTGAAATTCATACTACTTATTGTAAATTATTTCCATTTTGTTTCCCTTTTGTATCATGGTAACTATGTAAACTTAAATATTATGAATAGATAATGTTGTTTTTTAATTTATTTCAAGGTACTAAGAGTATTGTAAAGTACTAGTTATAAAAGGCTATGCAGGGACAGTATAGTGAAAATCAGACAGCAAATTCCTTCTGGAGAAGCTATGGTTACTTACCTTCAAAACCTCCACAACCATGCATACATGGCACAGCTTACAACCAACTCTGCTTGTTATTATCAGGGAGAAAATTATCATTCTGAACCCCCTAGTAAGGTAGCCAGTACTGGCAGCAAGTATGAAGAATCTATAACACAGGGAGGGACTTTATTCATGCCTGACATAAGCCCAAAGAAACAGTGAAAGAAGTCTGGAGGAAAATATTAGATCAGCACTGGAACTGATTCAAAAGTTACATCAGTCTCATAAAACTATCACCAATCTATTCACTTTGCCAATGTCTTGATGATGTTATATGTACCAAAGGAAAGGCAGAACCAAAAGTCTGCAGTGTATACATTTTTAAAAGGTGCTTATAAGGTCAGTGACTTCTTTTAGGCCTTGATATTTTATACAAGAATGGCTCCAATCTGTGCAGTATTACATAGGGAACAAGGGAAAGAGAGGTATAATTATTGCCTGGGATGATGTTCATCAACTCTTTCTCCTCAAAGACTTACATGAGAGTCCAACTTTGCTTTCAAACCTATCACTTCCTAATGAGAATGAGAAAGTCAAAACAGTATCTAAAGACCATAAGAGGAGTGAAGAAAATGAAAAGATTGAAAATAAGAATCAGAGATAAAGTACAAAATTCTGCACAACAGAGACAGACTGCATGAAAAGTACATGACAAAAACAGACAAACAGCAAGAATGATTATAGAACTTCAGGAGACTAATCATCAAGGCAAAATAAAATATTAAAAATACAGAAGATAGTAAAAGTCTAATTCTTGTTAAGACTTAAAATGTTGAACATCATGAAAATTACCACTTCATGTACACAATGTATGCGTGTATGGTAACACACATTTGGAGGGACTGCACATGACACACAGACACACTACAGACGGGCACCTTACCAAGGTGACAAGGCTCTGTTTCTCTTGCTTCCCATTTGCGGCTGTCTACATATGCTGCAGAAAGCAGGCATCTTCTTCCTGAGGAAAAAGACAATCATCTCAACAGGCGCAGCTTGCAACAATTTCACTTTACATACCTTTTTTACTAAACATTATCTTTGGCACATTTTCAACCACTAGATAATGTATTTTTAGAATTCCAATATGCTATTGCAACCAATACTGCATAGTTCATAATTCAGTTCACAACAAAATGTTTTCAACTTCTGACAAGGAGGAGATGCAGAAAACCTAAAATTTTTTACAAATAATTTTATGAGTAAAAATGCTGGTAATTTTTTCCTATAACTTTAGGGTTAGGAGTCATTTATTGTCACTAAATTATAGCCCAAGTGAGCCTCAAACCTCCTTTTTAGAACTGTTGCTTAACTCATTAATGAATGTGTTATAATTACTATCACTAAAAATATTTCCATCTGACTTGGATCAGCATATTGACCCTCTATTGCGCATAAAGCGAAGAGAAGTATCTTACCCAGTGACACGGCACATCAGGAGTAGAAAAGAGAAAGTCAAAAAACCAAATGTGAGGTGACACAAAAGATGGCATGGCTTGATTCCCAGCACCTTGCACAGTGCCTGGCATAGGCGGTGCTTAATAAACAGGAACTCAAGGAACACGAGAAAGAACACATGGCAGTTTTATCAGAACTAAAAGCTTCTGTGCTTCAAAGGACACTCTCAGAAAAGTGAAAGAATAACCCACAATATGGGAAAATTTTTTTGCAAATTACTTGTCTGATAAGAGGCTTGAATTGAGAGCATATAATCACTCTCACAACTCAGAAATTTAAAAGATAACCCAACTGAAAGATGGGTGAAGGACCTGGACATGTCTCAAAGGAAAAATACACACAACAGCCACCTTTCAATGGGCCCAGGATCCCCCACCAATACCAAATTCCTCAAACACTCAAATCCTTTATATAAAATGAAGTCATATTTGCATATAACTTTAGCATATCCCCCCCCATTTAAAAAATTATCTCTGCATTAATTATAATACTTAATGCAATGTAAATGCTACGTAAATAGTTTTTTTCTATATTGTTTAGGAAATAATGAATATGAAACAATGAAAGCCGTTGAAGATATTTTAAAGAAGGGAGAAGAGGGAGAATAACAGAGGGGATGAACCAAATAGGGTATAATGTATGCATATGTGGAAATGTCACAACGAAAACCCCTGTATTCCTATTATGTACTAATAAAAATTAAAAAAAAAAAAAAGACTGAGCGCATGTTCAGTGCAGAGGCAATTAAAAAAATATTTTCAATTTTGGTTGGTTGATATCCATGGATGCACAACAACTAAATATGGGGGGGAGTGAGTGTGTTTGTGTGTATACAAATACATGCGCACACAAATAGTCAACAGCACGAGGAAAAATGCGTCACATCATTTGCCATTTGCCAGGCCGTAACACTTCATGCCCACTCTTGTGACTATGATGAAGAAGCAGACAAGGAAGATGCAGAGAAACTAGAACCCTATAAACTGCTGGTATGCAACTGCTTTGGGAGATTTTGGCTGTTCCTCAAAATGTTAACATGGAGTTACCATCTGACCTAGCAATTCTACTCCTAGGTATACAAAAGAAAAATGAAAACTTGTATCCACACAAAATTGTACACAAATGTTCATAGCAGTATTATTAATAACAGATAAAAAGTAAAGTAATTCAAATATCTGTCACTTGGTGATTGGGAATTAAGATATGGTATATCCTTACATTGGAATGTTATTCAGAAACTTAAAAAATGAAGAAACCTTGAAAACATTATGCTAAGTGAAAAAGATGCCAGTCTCAAAAGACCACATATTTCATTTATATGAAATACCAGAATAGGCAAATCCAGAGACAGAAAGTAGGTTATTGGTTGCCTAACATGGGATTTCTTTTCTGAATGATAAAAATATCCTAAAGGAAAAGGAGGAGGAGGAACTCTAGCATTAACAAAAAAAAAAAAAAAAAAAGTCCTTTTATATTTTAGAAAAGACAATATTTAGATTATTGTCAAGAGTTTTGCACTGGGACATAATGGTAGGGAAAAACAGGATTCTCAGAATGTCCTTAGTGTGCAGTTGTTCAAGTTCATCACATGAACTGAAAACCTTTTTCTGTTTGCTTTTAAAAAAAGTAATAAGTAATTATTCTCCATTTCTATTGAAGGCATAATGAAGGAAATATAAAAAAATTTAAATTTCTCAAATAGAAATTTTCCTAATAGAAACTAATGAAAAACATAGGTATGGGTTGCCAAGCATAGTAGGCAAAATAATGAGCCCCCGCCTCCAAAGATGTCCATTCCCCTGAATCTGTAAGTACATTAGATTATATGGCAGAGGGGAATTAAGATTGCTTAACAGCTGATCTTAAAATAGGAGTGCATCCTGGATGATCCAGGTAGGGCCAATGTAATCATAAGGGTCTTTAAATGGGGGACAGAAGAGTCTGGTGGTCAGGGTGATGTGAAGACTGATGGAGAAATGACCCAAGGACTGTGAGTGGTCTCTAGAATATGGAAAAAACAAAGAAATGGCTTCTCCGCTAAAGAAGATCTCCCCAGAAGGGAGCACATTCCTTCTGAGATCGTGATTTCAACAGTGTCACACTTTTGACCCATAGATTTGTAATAAATATGTGTTACTTTAAACCACCAAATTTGTATTAATTTGCTACAGCAGCAATAGGAACCTAACATACTAAGAAAGACATTCCATGTTTTGTAAGGTTTTTTTGTTTTTTGTTTGTAGGCTGGGGATTAAATGAATAGAAATACATTTTCTATCCAATCATTTTCCCCAGCCAGTTTTGATGTTCCAAAGTTAAATTAACAGAGCAGGGAAGATATCCTGAACTGAACTCAACACTTTGGATGTTAAGTCTTTTAAAGCAAGATGTCTATCTTTCTGAGATTCTTTATAAATGACATCAGAGTTCTTTCCATCCCTGAATGTTAACTGTATATTATCTATATATGTTATAACCAAAGAACTTCTACATCTGCTTTTTAAGTAATGGTGTCAAGAACAGTTCTCAGACCACACTAGAACTAGCAAAGGGATAGGTCAATTTCAGCCTTGCAGGTTTTGGTTTCTGAGTCTATTCATTCAATCCCACTCTGAATGTACCATCCAAGAGTATATACAAACTTTTCTTGAACCTCTTACCCTCAGATAGTATTGCTTAGAGTAACAATATTCTCTAAATAATTATACAGTACAAAAGAAATGTTTTTGTTTTCTCTATTTAACTCTGAAACCCTTTCAAGGATCAGAATTTCAAAGTTTGATGAAAACTGATTAGCTCTATTCATATCTCTTATAGGTTTTTGATGACCTTTAAAAAATGTCTCCTTTTTTTTTTTCTTCTATTTAGAAGGAAGCACTGTGATTGTGGAAACATAAGCTTCAGAGTAACATAGTAACTCTGATCCTTGCCTTGCTAATAGTAAACGCTAGGAAAAATTAGAGGAATTACACAGTATTTCTGAGCCTCTTTCTTCATATATAGAATGGGAAAATAATGCCTATCTTAGTATAAGTTTAAGTAAGTGAACATATTAATGCCTTAATGTCTGCTATATAATGGTACCCAGTAAGTTTTTTCCTCTTTAAGTCACTTTTATGAGTCTATCTCAGCTAATTTTCCTTCATTTTCTTTATTATTTTAATTGCACACCTCTAGTCTATTTTAAGAACACATAGAAGCATCAAAGTGTTCCAAATATTGATTTGCCATGAATTTGTACAAAGTATTCTTCCTCTCTTCTGTAGGGGGTCAAATGTTTCAATGACTATGTGTCACACTACTTATCAGCATTCCCAAGTCCTGAGTGGTCAGTGTTGTACTATTCGATGTACTTACATCCCCTCCCCAACAGCCTCCAGTTACTGACTTTAAGAAGACTCCTTTCATCTATAATCGAATCCAGTGTTTGTTCAATATAACTTTCTGCAGTGATGACCCTATATGGGTCTACTGAGCACTTAAAATAGAACTAGTGTCACTAAGGAACTGAATTTTTAACTTAAATTTAAATAGCAATGCGTGCTAGCAACTATCATATTGGAATGACACAGGTGTAACTTACCAGAAATTCACCAGTTCCAACTAAAACCAAAATACTAACTGGAAATTCTCTGGAGTCAGCCTAATTTCCAATCCCTTGTTATAATGGTTGTTCCCAAACATTTTGAGCAAACATGCTACTTTCCCTGATCTACTGTCTAGGGCCTTATTTAGACTGAGACACATTTAACTAGTAACCATAATTAAACATGCTCAGAGTAGCCACTACAGGTAATTCTTACTTAAATGCCAAATATTGTGCATACCAATTTGTCAAATGTATGGCACTAAGTGGTGAATTACCTAGTAAAAATGTTTAATTTTCAGAAAACATCCAGTGGCCAACTATGAGGTTTCACACGTATACTCCAATGGCTGCTCCTGAAGAAGTGAGAGCAAGAATGTGCGTATTGCTTTTTTAATAGACGCTAAATAAGAGGTTGGTAAAAAAAGAGAAGAGAAGAGGCATTGGGACATTGAGTGTGATTCCTACATCTTAATCATACCTATGAGGACTATGAAGCTGAAATCATTGCAAACTTAGCTTTTGTAAATACTTTAAAACCTTTTTCCAACTTAGTGGATCGTTAGATCAGTAAGGAAGGTCTGAATCGGGTGCAATTCAACTCAGATATCCAAGTGTTCTACAAGCAGTTATTACCATTTGTTACCCGCACGTGGAAAACTACAGCAAAACAAGGTCAATCAAGACTTGTGACCAAGGTCATCAGGTAAAGTGAGGTTACTACTGAAAAATTCTTCCACGAAACGAAGACCAGGGGTCCGAAGGATCAAGTATGACGTGGCGGGGAAAACATTTACCTACCGCCCCTACAAAGAAACACCAGAAGGGAGAAAACTGTCACAAGCCCCGGGGGGCGAATATATTCGGGTCTTTCATGGTCAGCAACAACCATCCTAACACAAAAACCCAACCAAGTTATATGCAAAAACCCTAATGCCATAAGCTTCCTCTGCTCTTCACATCTTTGGACGGGCATATACTATAACTTTAGGGAGGGAGATGGGTTAGAGACCTTATGTCCCCTATCAGTGCTATCAAACACCCTAAATGGCTTCTCTAGCAATCAGGTCCCAGAAACATTTACTCTCTTGTTGAAAGCCCATCGCCTCCTTCTTTCAATGAGTAGAACAACAGGGAGCCTAATGACGCAGCCCTTCCAAGGCAGCAGCCACCAACCTGCCGGGGAACAGTGAGGAGGCAAGCCGATCCTCCCAGCCAGCAGCATCCCGCGCCGCACCATGGGGGCCGCCATCTTGGAGCGTACCAAGAGAAATGCCGGCTCGGGGGGTGAGGACAGAGGAAGGGGCGGGACCCTCCCTCCCTGAGCTCCGGAAGTGGACGAATCCAGTTGGGCGCTCCGGGCTGTGGGCCGATGCTGCGTTTTCCCTCCCTGGCGCACGCAGTTGGTGCGGTCCGCGAAAATATGGCTGCTGCCTTTCGGGCTTTGGAACGAGTTTGGCTGCAGGCGCCACGAACTTCGGAGTGTCCCGGGGTGGCAAGCACAGTCTCTGCCTGCTGCCGCTGCCCTCTCGGAGGTATCCGCGGCCTCCGGCCGTGGAAGGAGGGGAGGGATGGGAGAGAAGGGAGTGCTAGACCCCAGCCGGCATTTCTGGAGCAGTCGTTCACTTGCCCGTGTCCGCTAGTTGTACCCGGGTGCAACACCCGCCCTGGAGTCGTGACCATCCCCGACCTGGGGTCTGGACTTTGGGGCTACAGTGGGCCTTCGCAAGGGTCGACTTTGCTATGCCGGAGCAAGCCTCCTGCTTTGGGTTTCCTTTTCTGCGGGTTCGGACTTCCCAAGGTTGGAGTCCCAGTTTAAAAAACCTTGAGCAGGTTTCCTCATTCTCAGAATTATTCCGTAACATCTTTATGGAAATGATTAAACTCGAGAATGCTAGTGAGTAGTAACAAAAATATTTAATATTATTCAACTGCATTTTATGTGTTAATTACTTCCATACACGCAGTGGGAGAGGTACTGTTCTTCATTTACAGAGAGGAAAATGGACAAGGTCAAGTCATTTACCCAACGTCACAAGCAACTGACTTAGAGGCATGATTTGAACTTAGCCAGCAGTAGATAACTGTACTTAACCACATCACTGGACTGCCTTTTCATAAATAAATAGCAGTTACTATTATTGCAGTGATGGGAGGTTGAACTCAGGGCTTTATGCATGCCAGGCAAACATTTTACCACTGAGTTATGGCCTGTTCTATAAATAGCATTATTTATTGATACCTTGTTATTGTACAAGGAGAGAGGGGGTGGGAGCAGGGGGGAGAAATGACCCAAGCCTTCACGCAGAACTCTTGACTGTTGGTGCATGGGTTTTTTTTTTTTTGTCTGAACTGGGGTTTGAACTCAGGGCTTCCCGTTTGCTAGCCAGGGGCTCTACCAGTTAAGCCACAATTTCAGCCCTAGTGCATGATTCTTTGGCCAAATTTAGGCTACCCTACCTCATTCACAGCCAAGGATCCTGAAGAAAGGATAACACTTCTCAGATTTACTAAGCTGTGATCAGGGGTTTCTGATTTATCTTAAGGATACCAAGTCCAGATCTGAAAGGCCACAACCCCTTCATTTTATAAATGACAAAATTGAGACTTCCACTGGTCACACTGTAGCTCTTGCCACTGTACTACTTGCTTCTCCCTAGATAAAACAAATGTAGATATGCTTGTTGTGCATTTAAATGAAAGCTATTAAGATTTTTGTTTTTGTTGCTGCTTATGTGCCCTTGGTACTGCTTAACAAGATAGCAAATGTCTATTCTTCAGATTCCAGCTTCCTCTTAAGCAGTCCTCACTCATCAGAGTTAACCAATAGCTCCTTTCACAGCTTTTTGCTTAGGATTTGCATTCTCTGATAGTTTGGCCATTTTTTCCTATCAGGATTACTATTGTATTTGTATCCATTTGTTGGATCATATATCATAGATGTAGATAAGATCTGTATAATCTATATAATAGATAGACCTATATAGTCATCTGTATAATAGACGAAGATTAGAGGCAACCACACTCTACTCCTGTTATTGGCTAAGTATAAAATTGTCAAAATGATTTTACTTTTTTCCTTTCTCTGATTTTAGCTAAAAGATATCTACTTACAGATAATGTCATGAAATTAAAAGAATTTCAACATTTGAAGATGGCCGTTGCATATAATCTTTCTGGTACCAAAGGTAATAATCTATTTTCTTAATTTCTTCATCCACCTGTCATTTGAATTTCCTGTGTTTTTGGCCCCATTCAGTGACCTTCTGCTCACAGAAAAAATTGAGGACATTCATTCTTAGTTTCCTAGTCTATCCTTAGCAGTCACCTTTCATCTCACACTCTACTACCACAAAGTCTACAGCTCCCCTCTGACCCCTTCTCCCAGGATTCCAGAAGTGCTAAAACTAGTGGATACATTTGAAAATTTTGTTGTGAAAAACTAAAAACATCAAACACAAATATCCTAGGCTCCATTCCCTTTCAGCATCTGAGAAATCTTAGTGCATTTCTCCCCTCCCTCCTACATAGAGTTCTTCCTAGTGCTTCAAGTTTCTTTTTAATCACTTCCAGGACTTACTTCTTTTTTAGTAACTCATGTTTGTCCCTGTTGACTTTTTCACTTATAGGCCCAGCTCTCCTTCCTCAATGCCAGGTGTTTGTGAGTACCTGCTTCATACTTTTTGCCTCCACTTCTTCTCAGTTTGTTCCTCCAGAAGTCAGCCTTGCCTCTCTCTGCTGATCATACTGCTATGGAATGTACCTGTGGGATACAAAGATAAGCCTTAGGAGTGTGGGAGAATGTATTTATCTGAAGTTTAGTACACTCAATGTAGAATTCACTTTAGTCTTTTCTCTTTTACACCAAGTATTTTTGAGCAATGTGAGGTTTGCAGTCAAGGTCCTGTGTCATTTCTACTTGTTATTTCCAACTGTCATGATCCTTAGAAAGCTGCTACAGTTCATATGTTCTGAAAGGTAATTAATCTAAAGTCATTGCCAATCTGCTTCATTGTCAGGCTGATATTAATAGAGTCCTGTCTACATTTCACCATTTTAAGAACCCACAATGGCATTCTGTTGTATATCACATTATGTAGATGCCACTGGCTTCTTAACTTTTCCTTAATGACTTCTTTTCTGGAGTTGTGATTTCCTGTTCGTCTAGCTACAGCTCTTCCTGCACCACCTTTTACCCCTAGTTTTAGCATGGGAATGAGTTCCTTACCTTGAATGTCCCCTCCTCAATTTCTCCAACCCTCTTCAGCCTTGTCTTCCCACCAGTATCCCTTCACTTTCACCAAACTACTCTTGAGTTATAATAGGTGTCATTGACAGGACTTCTCTGTCCTATTGTTTTTGCATCATTCACATGTCACTTCCTCCATCATTATTTTCAGATAGCTCTGTATAAAAATGGCTTGTATTCCTAGACAGCATTTAAGCTCTTTGTGAGTAGGAACCACAATTACCCTTTGTTGAGAGACACATATCTCTGCTATGAATATCTGATAAGCACTTTAAATGTTGAATGATTTGTTTTAAAATACAATTTTTATCTTTTGACATTTTGAATTCATAAGGTTTATTCAGAAGGATTAAGAGATACATGAGGCAGAATCATCTCTTTAAATCATTTAATTTTCTTTTAAATTAGAAGTTGTTTTGAAATTTTTAATAGACTTAAAATAAAGTCCACAATGTTACTGGCAGTTACCACATGGTAGGCCCTGTGCAAAGTGCTTTCCATACATCTCACCTCACTCATGAGGTAGCTATCAATATCCTCACTTTACACGTGAGGAATTTATCACATATAGTGGTGTCCTCCAGAGCACGCAACTGGCAGAGCCTAGATTTCAGCCCAGGTCCTTCCATCTCTAAAGCCTTTTACCTGTAAATGGTTCTCCAGATAAAGATTGAAAGGCCCACTGTGTTTATCACAAACCTCATGGGCCTTTTCTTATAAACTTAGAGCAGTCTGTGCTCTGCTGCTAGTTCTTGTGTCTTTATATTTTGCCACTCCATCCAGCAGCATTTTTTCAAAGCTCTGAGCCTTGGAGATCCTGTAGACATTTCTTGGCAACTTCTGATATGAAAACAGCCCTGCCTCCTGGAAAACAGATGCTTACTTGGTTCTTGCCTTGCATCTCACTCCATGTTCTGGTGAGAATACAGCCCCTTCCTAATGCCAGGAAACATTGTTTGCTTTTGATTTTTATCTCCATGGTGCATCAGCTACAAAGACTATGGACAAAGACTGCAATGACTTTAAAATGATTTGGTCACTAAAGAGCATTTGCTGCTATTCAGAGGACTGTTTCTGTTTTTAGCCCTCTACCCATTACATATTACTGTGGCATGCATTCTGACGACTAGTAAAGAGAGACTAAGAGAGTTAAAGAGAGGTAAAGTTGCATGAAATGGAAGAAACGTGAACTGTTCCTGAACCATGTGGGTCAACCATTGTGATAAATCAGCCTTCAGTTCACATTTTACTTTTAGTTTTCCTGCTTGTTGTCCTGCCAATTAATGGTTTGGGTACCTGATTATATTGCCTTCTTGTGAGTCACCTATAGATTGACTTATTTGGGCTAAGCTTCTGGGACATTAGTTCTCAAACTTTAGTATACCTAAGGATCGCCCAAGGGATGCAAATGCCTTTTCTTATGCTCTTCCCTCCAGAAATTGTGTTTTTGAAAGAGGCCTGGACACGTGTCTCCTATGACACAGATGTTGTGCTTTGGGAACCATCTTCTGGTACTCAGTGCTGTAAAGGAATCGGCCAATGATTGGAGGGGGGTGGGGGGCGGAACCTGTATGCCCGAGAGCCTGTGTGATAGCGACCATTCTATGCTTTCTTCCAGAAACCTATTTTAGAAACTTGGAAGAGAAGTTGACCCAGAACAAACTCATCTTGAAGGAGGAGTTGAAAACATTGCTTCATTTGTGTCAGTTCCGGGACGATGTGGAGCTGGCTAAAAATGTCATTTATAGGTGAGGTGTTTCCTTAAAATTCTGCCAGCTTTATCTCTTCTTACTCTGTTCTTTTCCCAGAGCAGTCTCATCTACTTCCTAGATTTTAGCTATAAGCTCTGCACTGATGACTTCTAAATGTCTCGTTCAAATGCCTGTCTTACACTCCAGACATTTATATTTATTCGTTGAGCCAGTACTTATTGAGCTCTCACTACAGGCCAGAAGCTGAGGATAGAAGAACATATAATTGATAAACAAGGAAATCATCAGCCTGTTCACTCACTTTACTTAGGGATCCCCTAGGTTTTCAACATACATAGATTGATTCCTCTCACATAGGCAAACAGTCATCAGTCAACGTAGGACAGATATTTTGGGCCTCTTTCCCCTAATATAATTTGCCTCTTTTCCCTGATAAGATATGAAATCCTATTGTTTTCCCTCTCCCTAGTATCAATTTCTTAGTTCAGTCCTCAGTATATTTCCCTTAGATCACTTCAGTGGATTCCTAATTATTCTCCTTTCTCCTTTATACCTGTTAACACCTTTCTGAGCCATTTTCAGAATCTCCCATGTCAGAGAGAAGGTGCTAGAGGGTCCCAGAAGGCTTCACTTGAACGTCTGATGCCTCAGCACTCCATTGCCTCACCACTCATTAGCCTAGCTTGAACTGTGCTAGCCCATAGCACAGGTAAGAGCTGTCAGGCTTTTGAGAGCTGCCCACAAATGGCCAAGCAAGTTACCTGGCCATACCAAAGTCAAGGATGGGGAGAAATGGATACCACCTCTGGATGGACGGAACAGCATACAAATATAGGAATGGAAGGAACTTATAGTAGCTGTCTTTGGGATCCATCTACTGATATTTAAAAATTGTTTTATACACAAAGATTTTGTGACTTTTATATTACTCTAATTATGGCATTTTTTTCTAAATTGATGTAGCGTTAATGTTTTTCTTGTTCATATATTTAGGAATTACACTAATGACAACACAATATTAACATTCCATTAACATTAGGTATTTTAATTAACTCTGCTCCTGCTGTTAGAAACCTGAATTGTTTCCAATTTTTCACCAATAGAGCCTTCATGAGCAACTCTACATAAAACGTACTTGTTTCTGTTTTGGGGTCAAAGGGTATATTAATCAGCTTTTTCATCATTATCAAAATACCTGAGATAGACTACTTACAAAGAAAAGAGATTTATTAGCTCACAGTTTTGGAGGTTCTAAGGCATGATACGTAACATTGGCTCATTTCTTGGCTGTATCACATTGTGGTGGATGGCAGTGGTGGGAACCAGTGATCACATGTCTCTTATCTAGTAGGAGGCTAGAGAACTGGGTAGGATCAGGCTCCGGCTTTCATAAGAACTCTGTCTTGAGAACACAGTAGGGGAGAAGGGTCACATAAGAACCTCCTTGATCCCTCTGAATAGCAGCAACCTGGGTTGACCTAAGGACCTCCCATTAGGCTCCATTTCTTAAAGATTGCACATCACTTCCCAATATAGCTACATTGGGGACCAAACTTGCAACACATTGACCCTTAGTAAACAAACCAAATTCAAACCATAACAAAGGATGTGAACTTTTTAAAACCTGTAAATAGAAACTTTCAGATTGTTTTCCAAAAGGGTGGTACTAGTTTAGCGTCACACTGTATCAAAAAACCTTATTTTCTATTTCAGTGTCAAAATGTTACATCATGGGCTGGTGGAGTGGCTCAAGTGCTAAGAGTGCCTGCCTAGCAAGCAGGAGGCCCTAAGTTCAAACTCAAGGGGCCACCAAAAAAAAAAAAAAATCAAAATCGTTTGAGACCCTTTAGTTGGTTTTCTTCTCACTTCTGTTTTTACTACCAAAAGCTAACAGATGTTTAAAGAGTAGCAGAACACTATAATTCCAAATACTTTTTCCACTCTTACTTTTATTATAAACAAAGCATGACTCATAATTCTTTATTGATGCTAGTAACCCCTAAGCATTGTTGCTGTTCTTTCTCTCCACTTGTGGACAACTGGACACTTGGGAAGCTGGATACATTTCAGGGCCTAACTGATCTGTTCACTGTCTTCCTGAAGCTGGCAACTCACAGCTGGGGAAGGAGCTCATGAGCAGAAATGGAAGTTGGTTTTTGAACCACAAATGAGAAGCAACTTAATCCCCTTATAATCATGACCAAATGCTGTCATTTGATTCATGGAGTGATTTTAGGTCATCTTTCTTGAATGGTTCTTGTGAGGAGGTAGTTCGTTATCTCACTGACCTTCTAGCACTTTCATTGGCATGAATTTCATTTTGAATGTGAATGTCAAATCAGGAAAATTTTTTTTCTTTATGTTTTAAATCTGACATATTTCTTTTTTTTTTTAATTATATTTTTATTATTCATATGTGCATACAATGCTTGGGTCATTTCTCCCCCCTGCCCCACCCCTCCTTACCACCCACCTCCCCTCCCTCTCCCCCCTACCCTCATACCCAGCAGAAACTATTTTGCCCTTATCTCTAATTTTGTTGTAAGAGAAGAGTATAAGCAATAATAGGAAGGAACAAGGGTTTTTTGCTAGTTGAGATAAGGATAGCTATACAGGGAGTTGACTCACATAATTTCTGTGCTGTGTTACCTTCTAGGTTAATTCTTCTTTGATCTAACCTTTTCTCTAGTTCCTGGTCCCCTTCTCCTATTGGCCTCAGTTGCTTTAAAGGTATCTGCTTTAGTTTCTCTGCGTTGAGGCAACAAATGCTAGCTATTTTTTAGGTGTCTTACCTATCCTCACCCCTCCCTTGTGTGCTCTCGCTTTTATCATGTGCTCATAGTCCAAATCCCTTTGTTGTGTTTGCCCTTGATCTAATGTCCACATATGAGGGAGAACATACGATTTTTGGTCTTTTGGGCCGGCTAACCTCACTCAGAATGATGTTCTCCAGTTCCATCCATTTACCAGCGAATGAATAACATTTCGTTCTTCTTCATGGCTGCATAAAATTCCATTGTGTATAGATACACATTTTCTTAATCCATTTGTCAGTGTGGGGCATCTTGGCTGTTTCCATAACTTTGGCTATTGTGAATAGTGCCGCAATAAACATGGTGTGCAGGTGCCTCTGGAGTAACCTGTGTCACAGTCTTTTGGGTATATCCCAAGAGTGGTATTGCCATCAATGGTAGATCAATGTTTAGCCTTTTTAAGTAGCCTCCAAATTTTTTTCCAGAGTGGTTGTACTAGTCTACATTCCCACCAACAGTGTAAGAGGGTTCCTTCCCCCCCCACATCCTTGCAACACTGTTGTTGGTGGTGTTGCTGATGAATGGCTATTCTACAGGGTGAGGTGGAATCTTAGTGTGGTTTTAATTTGCATTTCCTTTATTGCTAGAGATGGTGAGCATTTTTCATGTGTTTTTTGGCCATTTGAATTCTTTTGAGAAAGTTCTGTTAGTTCACTTGCCCATTTCTTTATTGGTTCATTAGTTTTTGGAGAATTAGTTTTTTAAGTTCCCCTGTATATTCTGGTTATCAGTCCTTTGTCTGATGTGTAGCTGACAAATATTTTCCCACTCTGTAGGGTGTTCTTCAGTTAGAGACCATTTCTTTTGTTGAGCAGAAGCTTTTTAAGTTATATGAAGTCCCATTTATCTATGCATCTCTTAGTTGCTGTGCTGCTGGGGTTCATTGAGAAAGTTCTTACCTATACCTACTAATTCCAGGAGTATTTCCTACTCTTTCCTATACAACTTAGAGTTTGTGGTCTGAATTAAGATCCTTGATCCATTTTGAGTTAATATTGGTATAGGAGTAATGTACATGGATCTAGTTTCAGTTTTTTTGCAAGACTGCTAACCAGTTTATCCCAGCAGTTTTTGTTGAAGAGGCTGCTTTTCTCCATCATATATTTTTAGGCCTTTGTCAAAGACAAGTTGGTTAATAGTTGTGTGGCTATCATATCTGGTTCCTCTTTCTGTTCCACTGGTCTTCATGTCTGTTTTTGTTTCCCTAGTACCAATGCTGTTTTATTGTTATGCTTTGTAATATAGTTTAAGTCAGATATCATGATACCTCCAGCATTGTTCTTTTGACTGAGTAATGCCCTTGCTATTTGTGGCCTCTTGTGTTCCATATAAATTTAAATGTAGATTTTTCAATCTCTTTAATAGAATGTCATTGGATTTTATGGGAATTGCAATTAAACATGTAGTATTACTTTTGTGAGTATAGACTTCTTACTATGTTGATTCTGCCATCCTTCTCCGTTTACTTTCTATAGTCTTCCCATCTTTTCTTCAGAAGTTTATAGTTTTCCTTGTAGAGGTCATTACATCCTTTGTTAGGTTTACACTCTAGGTATTGATTTTTTTTTTTTTTTTGAGGCTATTGGTAAATGAATTGTTTTTCATATAGTTCTTTATCAGTTTGGTTCACTATAGTGTATAGAAGCTAATTGATTTTTCTAATGTTATTTTATTCCTGCACCTTGCTAATAGCTAAGCATTGATGGTGTCTAGGAGAAGTGGAGATGCTCTGGGCAGGCTGGAGGTGTGGAGTGGCAAAGTTTTGCCCTCTCCGGTGGTGTTTGCCTGTAAGGGTGTATCTCCAGCCTCTCTCCAAGATTTTTCCCTTTATGGAGGCACGCTTTCGCTTCCTCCTCTAAGCCTGCCATCTTGAATCCCTGACCATTTCTTAATGAGACTGTTTACTAAAAATTGTTGATTAGATTTTTTTTTTCATTTTTCTTTATTATTCATATGTATACAAGGCTTGGTTCATTTCTCCCCCCTGCCCCCACCCCTCTTACCACCCACTCCGCCCCCTCCTCTCCCCCCCTCAATACCCAGCAGAAACTATTTTGCCCTTATTCTCTAATTTTGTTGTAGAGAGAGTATAAGCAATAATAGGAAGGAACAAGGGTTTTTGCTGGTTGAGATAAGGATAGCTATACAGGGCATTGACTCACATTGATTTCCTGTGCGTGGGTGTTACCTTCTAGGTTAATTCTTTTTGATCTAACCTTTTCTCTAGTTCCTGTCCCTTTTCCTATTGGCCTCAGTTGCTTTAAGGTATCTGCTTTAGTTCTCTGCGTTAAGGGCAACAAATGCTAGCTAGTTTTTTAGGTGTCTTACCTATCCTCACCCTCCCTTGTGTGCTCTCGTTTTATCATGTGCTCAAGTCCAATCCCCTTGTTGTGTTTGCCCTTGATCTAATGTCCACATATGAGGGAGAACATACGATTTTGGTCTTTTGGCCAGGCTAACCTCACTCAGAATGATGTTCTCCAATTCCATCCATTTACCAGCGAATGATAACATTTCGTTCTTCTTCATGGCTGCATAAAATTCCATTGTGTATAGATACCACATTTTCTTAATCCATTCGTCAGTGGTGGGGCATCTTGGCTGTTTCCATAACTTGGCTATTGTGAATAGTGCCGCAATAAACATGGATGTGCAGGTGCCTCTGGAGTAACAGTCTTTTGGGTATATCCCCAAGAGTGGTATTGCTGGATCAAATGGTAGATCGATGTCCAGCTTTTAAGTAGCCTTCCAAATTTTTTTCCAGAGTGGTTGTACTAGTCTACATTCCCACCAACATGTTGATAGATTTTAAAGCTGTTTAAGAACTATCATACAGAAGAATTGCTATGTACCAGGCAAGTCCTGTCTCATTTGAGTCTGACAAAAATCCTGAATTTTCTTTCCATTTTACAGATAAGGAAACTGAGATACCTCATGGCTAATTAATTTGCTCATAGTTACACAGCTTATAAGTAAAAGAGATGGAATTTGAACCATCATTTTAGAATCAGAATCTAAGATGTCCATCATTGTACTTTGTCTTTTAATAATTTAATTCATAAGTGTATATAATTGTAACTTCTGTAATTAGATTGTGAAATGTAATTCTGTATAAGTACACATAACCATTGTATTTTGCAGTATATATGTTTACAATAGACCGGGTATAATGCCACTCCAGTTTCCTCAGTTCTTTCAGCAGAAGGTAGAAAGTGTTTTGTAAAGTCAGGTTTTATCTCCTAGTCAAGTCATTCACATGAAAATTTGATTTACGTGTAATTAGGAAGTTCTCCTTTGATTAGTAGATTGTCCTGTTAATGTCTTCAGTAGAAGGATTGGTTATTAAAAATGAATTTATTACGGGTGTGTGGTTATTAAAAATAAATTTATTACACCTGCAATCCTGTAATCCCAGCACTTCCAGGCCACCCTAAGCAACATGAGATCCTTTCTTAAAAGAAGACAAAGACTGAGGGTGTAGCTCAGTGATAGAACACTTGCCTAGCATGTGCAAGGCCCTGAGTTTGATCCCCAGCATGACAAAAAGAAACAAAGGAAGTAAATTTATGCTTGTAATTTATTGTTCTGCAGTTCCAAATGGCAGACCGACTGCTTGAAGAAATCTCAAGCTACTTGTAAAATGTCACTGTCCTTGAAATTAGCCTTTTTTTAAGGTTTGCAGTTTCTTTTCTTTTTTTTTTTTTTGGTGGGACTGGGGTTTAAACTCAGGGCTTCACACTTGCAAAGCAGGCTCTCATAAGCACGAGTACTGCTGCTTGAGCCATTCCTGTCCATTTTGTTCTGGTTATTTTGGAGATAGTGTCTCTCAAACTATGTGCCCAGGCTAACCTTGAACTGTGATCCTCCTGATCTTCACCTCCCAAGCAGCTAGGATTACAGGCATGTCCTGCTAGCACCCAGGTGACTTAAAATTTCAAAAGTGCATTTAATTTGTTTAGCTAGTTGACCATAGCTCACATGTACCTTTGCCTGAGCTTAGAAGAACAGAGATTGCTATAAATTATAAAATGTGTCTGTTGGATTGATCTACCATATGATCCAGCAATACCACTCTTGGGGATATACCCAAAAGAATGTGACACAGGTTACTCCAGAGGCACCTGCACACCCATGTTTATTGCAGCAGTATTCACAATAGCCAAGTTATAGAAATAGCCAAGATGCCCCACCACTGACGAATGCATCAAGAAAATGTGCTGTTTATACACAATGGAATTTTATGCAGCTGTGAAGAAGAACGAAATGTTAGTATTTGCAGGTAAATAGATGGAATTGGAGAACATCATTCTGAGTGAGGTTAGCCTGGCCCAAAAGACCAAAAATTGTGTATGTTCTCCCTCATATGTGGATATTAGATCAAAGGCAAACACAACAAGGAGATTGGACTTTGATCACATGATAAAGCAAGAGCACACAAGGAAGGGGTGAGGATAGGTAAGACACCTCAAAAATTAGCTAGCATTTGTTGCCCTCAACACAGAGAAACTAAAGCAGATACCTTAAAGCAACTGAGGCCAATAGGAAAAGGGGACCAGGAACTAGAGAAAAGGTTAGTTCGAGAAGAATTACCTTAGAAGGTAACACACATGCACAGAAAATCAATGTGAGTCAACTCCCTGTATAGCTATCCTTATCTCAACTAGCAAAAACCCTTGTTCCTTCCTATTATTGCTTATACTCTCTCTTCAACAAAATCAGAGATGAGGGCAAAATAGTTTCTGCTGGGTAGCAAGGGGTAAGGGGGAGTGGGGAGGGGCAGGGAGAATAGGGGAGAAATGACCCAAACGTATGCACATATGAAAAAAAAAAAAAAAGTGTCTGTTGGTTGTCTGCTATCCTATATGGGCTTGAAGTGAGCCTCAAGGAGCTTCAGCCCAGCTCCTTTCCTTTGTTTTCCTTAGGTGAGGCCTATATTGAAGAAACCCGTGATGTTCCCTAACATATGTTTATACTCAATCCTAGCTAGTTGCTTAATTTAGAGCATGATTACAATGTATGTTTTTCCTTTTTTTATTTCACAGGGTATGTTGGCCTCTGAGAAACCTGTTTGTTTGTTTGTTTGTTTAAATGCCTGGTGTACTATACTCCCAGATTTCTCTTGTCTTATTCATATTTCCACTTCCCTTTCAGACTGAGAGAACTTCATTTTTCATTGTGTCCCTAACACCTAGCAGAGTGCATGGAATGGTCTGTCTGTCCTTTTTGCTGTGCCCAACCTTTTGGCTCATTGAATCATTTTGATTGCCAGGTACCATGCAGAGAACAGAAATGTCACTGTGGGGGAATTTAAGTTTGGACCAGTTTTCATGAGGCTGTGTTACGAGTTGGATCTTGAGGAATCTGCAATGGAGCTCATCAAAGATCAGGTTATTGTTCCCTGATTTCCTTCCCAGCCTGTGTGATTTCCTCATGGGGTATTTTTGGTGCTCTTGAAAAGACATCTTTTCAATACACATAATTCCTGGGCTAGAATTTCAGGGGAAGGCCACTGGGCTGAATAAATGATTTCTTCTCTGTACTTTTAAAGTGTCCTTGGAATCAGTTCATGTGAAACTTGTATGTCTTGTACAGAGTCATAAAATGGTAGATACTGATGCCATGGTGTCTAGCTGTGTGTTGTGTTGACTTGGGACATAAACCCTCTTTAGAGGAGGTTGGTTTAAGACAGGCTGCCATTTTACAGTTGCTGTCCTGTCCTGCACCTGTGCTCTCTCTCGTTTTTGTATTTTTATTTGTAATCGACAACCACATTTGTAAAGTACTTGCTCATTTTCAAAATGCTTTTGTGTAGTCTGTTTTTCTTTTCCTAAAAAAAGAAAAAATTGTTTTTGCAATTACTTATTGAATATTTATTATGTCCACAGCATTGTGTGTAAGCTCTTTCCACATTTAATTTGTTTTCCACAATGACCCTGATAAGGTAACATGACTTCCATTTTACAGAGGAGGAAAGTAGGGACCCATGGTCAAAAAGTGGAAAGCTGGTGTTGGCCACCATGAACATGATAGTATATTTGGAATCTCTGTAGCAAACTAATTTATCTTCCTTTTACTCTTTTTCATATAAAGTGTTCTGGGACTGTTGGTGTGGCCCAAGCCATTAGACCACCTGCCTTGCAAGCATGAGGCCCTGAGTTCAGACCCTAGTGCTACCACAAAAAAAAAAAAAAAAGAATAAAGTGTTCTTTTCATGGTGGAACTATTATCACTTGGCCTTTTTCTTTCTCTTTTTTTTGTGGTATTGAATTTGAAATCAGGGCTTTGCTCTTGCCGGGCACCCCCACTAGGGTCATCAACCTTTTTCTTTTTTTAAACAGGGCCTAACTATGTAGCCAAAGCCAGCTTTAATCTCAAAAGATCCTCCTGCCTTAGCCTCCCAAGCATTGGTATTACAGGCGTGTGTCACCACACCCAGCATTAGTAGAAGTAGACTCAAAATAGTGATAATATCATCTTATTTTTTCTTAAAAACAGAAAAAAATATGCACATAATTACATACATTTATGTACACATTAAAAATCTGGAAACTAAACTGCATGTCTTCAGGATTTAAATAATTAAAAATTCTGTTTTGGGGCCGGAGAGTGGATATGGCTCAAGTGGTTGAGCACCTGCCTGGAAAACACAAGGCCCTGAGTTCAAAGCCCAGTACTGCAAAAAAAGGAAAAAACAATTCTTTTTTTTACTTTACCCAGGTTTGTATTGTTTGACTAATTTTATTTATTTATTTATTTATTTATTTATCTATTTATTGGTTATACTAGGGTTTGAGCTGAGGGCCTCAGTTTTAAAGTTGTAATTAAAGGAAAACAAAAGTTTCATTGTAATGTCAGACCCACAAGTATGACAATAAAAAAAAACATGAAAAAAATGGAAGTAAAGCTTTTTTTAACGTACTTATGTATGAACAACTTAGGTGTACGTAGGTTTCCGGAAAAGTAGAAGAGTGAGGGTAAGGCCTCATTGTGTGTCTGCCAGTGCATCTCTCTTGAGAGTCTTCTCTCACCACCTTCCTTCTTCTCCTCTCTTTATTCTGCTTCATTGTACTTCAGCCCTTAGCTGTGTCTGAAATTACAGGGTTTTTTCACTTGTTGTCTCCCTCACTAGAATATACACTCTACGAGATTATAAACCCAACTAAAATTGAGGGCAGATTGTATTGTCTTATTTATCATTTTTTCATCCTCACATCCACAACAGGATCTGCACGGTAGTTTCTCATAAAGAACAAACTTGAGCAAGGCATTTAATGACACACTTAACTATTATGGGTTACATTGTCATGGCATTTAAAAGACTGGAAAGATATCTGTCCAAAGAGGTACAATTTTGTTTAGAAGGAATCTATTATAAAACATGGACAATGACAGTTAATAACTGCATATTATATTACTTAGAAAAATTGCTGAGTGTAGATTTTAAGTGTTTTAGCACAAAAGAATTTTAAGTGTGTGAAGTAACACGTGTTAATTTTACTTGACTTAACTATTCCATGATGTATACATATTTCAAAATCACATGTACATAATAAAATATACAGGTTTTATTTGTCAATGAAAATAAAGTTGAAAAAAATACTGAGTAACAAACGTTGAGAACCATTGTTTTAGTAAATTGTTTTCAAAAGCAAGTAATCAATTCTATATTATTTGCTCGTTAAAAGAGGACCATAGTTCTTTGAGACCCTCCTGTCATGGTTCTCAAGTATATTTACAGCTGTCATTGCCTGGTAATAGCTGGTACCCAGGTTCCAGAGCCACCCTACTGGGGTGAATTGGCTGTTTCTTTTCCTCCTAAGTCTGGCAGAGCCACATCACATACAGATGTTCTCCACTATGTGTATGAAACCAAGAGATCTCTTACCTCTTGTTCACTGTGCCCATTCCCACAGGCTTGACAGTCGAGACAGCAGGCAGCAGTTTTTCTTCAAAAACAAGTCTTTTGTATATCAGATCAATAGAGAATCTAGGAAGCAAAGTGAATTAAATGTGAAATAAAATAAGACCTGTCTAGAAAGATAAAATGTAAGTTCCCCATTAACAATTTTAACTTTTAACCAACATTTTTTTGGCAGCATCTAAAAGGTTTCTTCTCGGACTCTACATCATTCAATATTTTGATGGATATGTTGTTTATCAAAGGCAAATACAAAAGTAAGTGCTAGAACCTATGGTTGCTGAACAATTCTGCTATCTTTGCTAGTGTAGTAATTAGGGGAGAAAATGGCCTATGTACAAATGGTTCTTACATTCCTAATGAGGGGCTCCATTATGGAGCCCTCATGCTTTAAGTTCAAAAACATTGCATTACCAAAATTGTCATGCCTAAAACTAAACAGCCCAGATTTTGCTTATGCTAAAATTGTAGCAGGTTTTAAAATACTAGTTCTTCCTGTACGACCTGGTAATTTAACTTGACACTTAGTTAATTGCTAAATGATGTGGAGAAATAGATTATATTATGCTGAAATGGACTTTTCAGTTGAGGGTGCTAAACAGATGAGAGCTTGGGGAACCAACAGTAGCTGCATTTATCACTGCTGGTCCTCTCTTCTCTTTTGGCAGGTGCACTGGAAGTATTGATAGAGATGAAAAACCAAGATGTGAAGTTCAACAAAGATACTTATGTCCTTGCATTTGCAATTTGCTACAAACTGGTAAGATTGTTTCCCCTTGACTTTCAGGGCCTTGTAGTGTTTGAAAGAGAATTCTTCCTCCTTCCCTTCTTTTCTCTCTCCTTCCCTCCCTGTCTCTTTTTCTCCAGTTTAGTTCCTCTGAAGTCTGTTTTCCATCTGGTGCAAATATTTCCATTTAAATGTATTCATTTTTAGAAAACTCAAGTTAACCTCATCAGACAGTTTTATCATGGGAAAAGCAATTCTTCATCTTTCACCCTTTTCTGCAGTTGTATAGATACTGAGAACAAGAGACAGTATGTCCTGTTCCAGGTCACTTTAGCGTTGTCTTGCACACTAGACTCTACTAGTCCTGTCTTCCGTGGTGCTCTCTCTTCTGGAAATCTTACCATCCTAGGGCCAACTAGAGGACTACTTTGCCCTCAAGTGTGAAGTTTTTCATGATTGCTGAAGCTGGAAGCAGTGTTATGTCCTGCACTGTCCCTTGTTCCTTGTGTATAGCATAACCTGCACGTGCAGCTCTGCCTGCTGCTGTGCTCAGCAGATGCGGATTCCATCCCCCTCCAAAACATGAACTCCTTGAGGCTTCTTAAATCCCTGCATCTGACAGATTTCCCCAAGAATTCCTTAGTAAATGTGTATGGCATTAAAATGAACTCTTTAAGGGCAGAGATCATGACTTACGAGTGCTTGTCATTACCAGGATAGTTTCAATCACATAGAAACTATTTCTTCAGTATTTAGTTAAATGGATGAATGATAACTGGAAAAGTGAAATGACCAAAGTTCAATATATTACCGTAGGCATTCAAACCATGTAAATTTGGGATACCTGGATAATTAAGCATTTTTATACTGAAAATGAAGAACCCCAAGCAAGATAGAAGATCATAAGTCATTGAAAACTCCCGTAAGGAGTGCAGCAATACTACCTGTCTTTGGAAAGAATCAAAGAGGGGGAAAAAAAACGGGCAAAGAAAAAAAACCAGGGGCAACTGGGTTGCAGTGAAACAAAAGCCAATCTGGAAATTGAAAAACTTGAAGTTCAGTCAACTTTGTATTAACTGGTTTATGCAGTTTTGAATGATCACTTATTTTCTTCATCTGTTTTTCTTTTTTTTGAGACAAGATCCTCCTCGGTCAGCCTCCCAAATGCTGAGATTACAGGTGTGTTCAACCACACTTGTCCTACACTTACCTCATTTGCAAAATGAGAGAATTATATTCTGGGGCCAGTAAACTTTCTCTTTAAAAGGACAGATAGTAAATATTTTAGGCTTTGGGGTCTACATATTATTTCTCCTGTACAGGATTTTTCTCACATATTATTTTTGTTTTTTTACAAGTTTTCAAGCCTTTAAAGATTCAAAAGCCACTCTCAGCTATAGACTAGATTTGGCCCAAGGGCTGTTTGCTGACAGCTAGATCAAATGACCCTGGCCATTCTGACTATAAAGTAGAAGGCCAAGAAGAGCAGCACCACAGCGCGTTGTTGGCATTGAGATTCCTGGTTTTCTAGCCTACCAGGGATGCCTCCTTGAGTGTAGACTGAAGTGGAGAAATGTTAATTCTACTACTTAGGAAGGGTCAGATAACTTCTTATATTGTATCAAAAAATAACTTGTTTCACTCAGTGGAAACAAGATGAAAAATGGAGCTACTCAGTCTGTATAGATTCCAAGTCATTTCTGGGAAATCACCCCTCTCACTGAATTCAGGCTGTATTTGGAGGATTGCGTGGAGAGTCATATCATGACAGATGGACACAGATACATAGCCGGCCCTGGTGTCATAAACCCCATCCACCCGCAGTGAGCAGAAGAGTGATGGGTTTACCATTGTTGTCTTGTTGGTTTGTGTGTTGCTCACATTCTTGGATTTTTTTTTTTTTTTAAGATTTCTGTTTCATGGAATTCTTTGATAATCTATGCTCAAATTAGTATTCGTGTTTCTAAATATTAGATTTATATGGATATTTTCAGACTGGAAGTTCCTCCAGGAAAAAAATTAGTGTTGCTAAGCTTACTATACTATTGTAGTAACAGACTGACTATACTTGTACATTATGGACCTATGTCTGGAAACTAGCCTGCCCAGTTACAAAGACCCCTGGATGTTCACTGGTGAAAACTGCTCTATGACAGAAGATTGACAACTTAAAAAATAAAGTCAGTTTAGATTTGGATTGCTAATATACATAACCTGATGTATTTGTGAATAGTCTCTGTGGAGCTTAATCCTTCAAGTAACTTCAGGTGGGCTCTGGGAAATTCTGAAATATTAGACACTATTTATCATTTCATTAAACTTGAAGGTTCATGACATTCACTGACCAATCATGTCTCCTCACAGAATAGCCCAGAATCTCTTAAAATCTGTATTACCTTAAGAGAAGAAGCCCTAATTAAAGGGGACGTTCTCTCCAGGAGAGCAACCTGTTTTGCTGTGGCATTAGCTCTGAATCAGGTAAGGCTTTGAGGAGCACATACATGAATTGGGAGTGAGCGGGATTTCACTTTCATTCCTTCTTACATTTAATTTACTTTTTTCCTTCTGACTGTAGGAAAAGAAAGCGTTCCCAAAAAGAAAGTACTGCCTTGGTTGCTGTGGCAACTTGCATCTATACCTATGCCTATGAAGAATTTTGTTTATGTTTGAGGACCTAACATGCATTTCTATTTAGAATGAGTTGGCCAAGATCCTGCAGAGAGTCGGGGGTGGGGTGGGGGGGGTGGGAATCTGTACTTTAAGAGAAATTTCTTGGGTAATTACAGTGAAAACTCCAAATGGTTATAATGTTCTCAGAGAGCAGTTTACCTAAGTGTTCTCTGATGCTCACATGAATACGTACTCCTTGGTCAGCCCGTTGCTAGAAGAGGGTTTCATAGTTAGACCAACTACTATTATGTGGTTGAGACATTAGCATTCATTTTGCCTTCCCCCCTCAATGGGCAGCTGGGGCCCAGAGAGAAGAGATTAGACCTCAGTGAAGGAAGGACAAAGAGCTGGAACATCAGTGTGTTAAAGAACTCTGCCTCTGAGATGTTCTATTCTGAGGCCTGAAAAATAGGAAATACTTACATTTGCTGTGAAATAAAAGGAAATTTTATGACAGAAAAATACTAACCAAGCTAGGTTATTTAGCCAGCTGGCAAAACAGGGCTAGGGAACTCTTGTTTATGACTAATTAGAAATCAGAGTATCAGGGTGATCTATTTCCATATGGTACTGGGAAAAGTCACGGAAAAACAGAGACTTAAGAGGGTACAATACACACTTGCCAGGTATCCCCTGGGCCATGACCATTTCTCTAAGTTTCTAAGCTTTCTTCCCTTTCTGCCCAGGGGAATTGTTTTGTTCTTTTGTTAATCTGACAAGAGCTGAGTAAAATGAATTAAAGTCTCTTCTAAGGCTTACGTAACCCATCTAGTTTTGTGGTTCTTTCAGTTTTTCCTCTATAAGTATTAGTTGGAGCACAGAAAAATGATTGCTATATCATCTTTGTGATATCTTCACTCATTTTAGTATTGAAAAGTACCTTTCTTGGTTGTGTTTAATGTTTTTTCCCTGAGTCCATCCTTGTCTGATACTACTGTCACCATCCCTGGCTTTGTTTGTTTCAATTGGGTTTACATTTGCTTGCTGTACCCATTTTCCTATCCTTTTATTTTCAGTCCTTCTGAACTGTTTTGTTTCAAGTATATCTCTTGAACATTGCATAAATTTCAACTTTGCTTTATAATAAGATGCTAGTCTTTCTTTACTCATTTATATTAGTATGATCTAAGTATGATCTTAGGTGTCATTTTGTTTGTGTCTTTCTATTTTCATAGCTGAAAGTATTTTATGCCATGTGGTCATTTTCTTTGGTTTGCATTTTGTTCTAGTGGTTACTTTAAAACCATAACTTTATCAGGGCACAGTGGCTCGCAGCTATAATCCCAAATACTCTGGAGACAGATCAGGAGAATAATGGTTTAAGGCCAATCTGGGCAAAAAGTTAACAAGACCCTTTCTCAAACAACAGTGGGCGCAGTGTCATGCTCCTGTCATCTCAACTACTGGGAGGCTTAGGTAGGAGGTTCACAGCCTGAGACTGGCCTTGAACAAAGAATGTGAGACTCTATCCTAAAAATAACTAAAGCCAAAATGGGCTATGGGTAGAGTGCTTGCCTATCAAGTGTGGGGCCCTGAGTTCAAATCTCAGCCCCACAAACCATACTTTAATTTTCTTAATCCTCTGAGTTCTTTGACAGTGTCTATGAATTCCCTCCTATAAATGATAGTGAAGTTACAATATTTTCTCCATTTCTCCTCTTACTTTCTTCCTTCTCTGTCACCTAATTTTATTTGCTATATTCTCTTTCATAGTGTTTTCTTTTCTCTTAAATATACTTGATTTATCAGCTTTAAATTGAAATTTTTACCCGTGGATAATAAAAATGGACATCATTTACTTCCTAATCTTCCTTTCCCTTCTCCTTTTGTTAGTGCTATCATTTCTTCATTGTCTAGGTGTATAACATATGGTAACCATATTCCCCACATTGGGTCTTTATGTGTAGTTAGAGGCTCATTGTTCACTGCTAGTAGTTACGGTGTTTTTACAGTGGTTTCTGAGCCAGGTGCTGGTGGTTCACACCTATAATCCTGGCTACTCATGAGGCAGAGATCAGGAGGATTGCAGTTTGAAGCTAGCCCAGGCAAATAGTTCTTCAGACCCGATCTCAAAAATACCTAACACAAAAAAGAGCTGGTGGAATGGCTGAAAGTATAGGCCCTGAGTTCAAACCCCAGTACTGCAAAAATAAATAAACAAACAAAATGTGGCTTCTGGTAAATTCTTCAGGGAAGCAATATTCCTGAGTTCTTGATATTTAAAATTATTTCATTTGCCTTTTGTTCTTGTACTTAAACTGGTTTGGCCAGTTTTAACATTTTGATACAGTACTTGCTTTTCTTGAGATTTTTAACGGTCATTCTGTTTCTCTTCTAGTTTGGAATATTGCTGTGCAGGAGGCTGAGACCTGCCTGACTGTTTTTCCACCTCTAATTGATATGATAATGTTCCTTTTTCTCAGTTCTGTCTTTGTGTTCATGGAACCAGTTTTGCGTTGTGGTTTCTCTCATCTATTAGTTATTTTCTTATAATGTTTTATTGTGTTCCTTTCCTCTTTTTTGATTGTCTTTATGGAGTTCATGTGCTAATTCTTTTTTTTTATTATTCTTCATTGAAAAAGATAAATTTCTCATAGACTAATCATTTGCAGGAAATTCATGTCTGAAAGTGAGAGAAAGACAGAGACACTGAAGCCCTGTTGTAGACTAGCAGGCTTTTCCTATGTAACTAGTTCGTGTAACTTGTAGAGTTTTGCTTACAGGTTTCCTTGTCCCTAGCTAGTGGCAACAGGCGTTTGGGGCTTTCAGTGAATGGCTTCTGTGCTGCTGCTGAAGGAACACACTTGCCTCTTGTAAATATGGTTGCTCTAAGGAACCTTGACTAGCTCCCCTCTGTACCACAGGAACCCAGTAAGCTCCCCTACTAGTCTTGACGTCTATGCCATCACTGTAAGCAGGAGTCTAGGTTGTGTACTTCATGTTGTGGACTAAGAACCTTTGAAAGTTCTACCTCGTGGGTCCTTTCCAAGATACCCAGTAGGTCACCTCTCAGTTCTTTCTTTGCAGCACCATCCCCTCACCTCCTTCTGCTCAGCACTGTCCCCTCTCCCTGCCTTCTCCTGAACCCTCCCAGGCTGTATCTCCAGTGTTTCTGGCACTGTTCCCACCTCTAATGTGATTTGAGGCTTCTCTGTTCTAATTATGTCAAAGATGGAGTTTGCATTTCTGTTTTTTGGTCCTGTTTTTCTCCTCCCCTCCCCCAGCAATACTGGGTTTTGAACTGAGAGCTTTACATTTGCTAGGCAGGCACTATACTGCTTGAGCCACCCCTCCAACTCTTTTTCTCTACTTATTTTGGAGATAGGGTCTTGCTTTTTGCCTGGGTTGGCCTGAACTGTCATCATCCTATTTACACTTCCTGCTGTGGCTGGGATGACAGGCGCATGCCACCACACCAAACTTTTTCCGCTGAGCTGGGAGTCTCACAAACTTTTTTTTTTTAACCTGTGATGGCCCGAAACCAGGATCCTCCTAATCTCAGCCTTCTATAAAGCTTGGGATGACTGGTGCTTGCTACCACACGCAGCTTAGTTGAGATGGTGTCTCACTAACTTTTTTCCTAGGCTGGGCTTGAACCTCTCCTGTCAGCTTCCCAGGAGGCTAGGATTACAGAAGTGAGCCACCAGTACCTACTTTCATTCTTGTTTTTCTAATAGCTGATTAATGTTAATTTAATGCCTCCATTTTAGAAACTAGCCTTGGACAGATTATTAAAAACAGAACATACATAAAATGTATGAAACATTTTATGCAGTGTTTAATTTTGATTAGTAAGACAATCTTTGTCAATTTCAAAACCTTGGGACCCCATGAATAGTAATATTCTGTATACTTAAATGATTCTGTGACAGAGTAATGCTCATGTGACTTGGAGCATGACTTGTTTGATTTTGGTTTTGTTTTTTTTTCTTTCTAGAATGAAGTGGGAAAAGCTGTGTCCATTTTTTCTCAAATCATGAATCCAGAGAGTATAGCCTGCTGTAATTTAAATGTAAGTGGCTTCTTTGTGGTTTGAACTTAGTAAAATGTCTCCCTTTTTTGGTGTGTACATGATGAGCTGATCTCCCAAGAACTTCATTCAGTTGAACAGAATGGTCATTTTTGGAGTTCCTCTGTGTGAGAATCACTCCTATGAGGAAAGTTAGCACAGTGTTGCAGCAAGCAGTTTATAAATAGGTGGGAATGGTAGATATCAGACAGGGCTACATGCTAAAGATGTGAGGCAGGACTCAGAAGACTGTAAGGTGAGGAAGAAATGGAGTCCAACCTGCCAGACTTTAGAGAGGTTGCTGAAAGCTAATTGTGTCCTATTTGTTGTAGCTACCTCGTGGTGTCATTGTAATTAATGAACTAATATGCCTACAGTGCATCAAATAGTGCCTGTCACATCAGTAGATGTAAGCTGTTTCAATTCTTATTATATCACCAATCTGCCAGTGCTCATCTGTCCCATTGGTTTATCTGTACTACCTGTGTCACCTGTTTGGGGACTTTTGTCTTGGTCAGCAAGGGACTGTGCTTATTCTACCAAGACATGTGAAGCCTTAATCCTAAAACTAAAGAAATAGACAGTCCTACTATATGTACTGGATTTACTCAAGTAATGAAGTTTGAAGCATATCCTGTTACTGCTCCTGGTTTTTGAGCAGTGAGTCACTTAACCCTTCCTGGGCCAGCGAAGAAAAAGACTGTCCTATTGTAAAGACATTGCAGCCTTACCCAGCTAGTCCCTGGTGAGGCCCTGCTGTGCACCAAATGCATTTGTGTTATGCAGAGTTGCAAAAGAAAAGCTCACAATTTTCAGGACTTGTCATCTCCTAAAGCAGTCGAAGGGTTGAGTTGAGGAAAACATTTTCATGGAATAGAAATGTTTAAACATCAATGTGATGTGAGCTAGGATAACAGGTAACAGCTGATGTGACAGAGTATTCCAAGAAGAAGGAGTTAAGGGAAAGACAGGGCTGGTCAGCAGAGCAAACTGAGTAGACTGAGGGAGGAGCCTGTTGTCAAGCAGTGTTTCGAAGGAGGACAGGGCTGTGAGATGGAGAGATGCAAGTAGAAGGACATTCTTTGCCCACACATTGCTTCTGATGAGGCTTCTGTTTAAAAGAATACAAATCGTAACCACTTCTTACCAGCTCTGAGTCCTTCTATAAGTTACTTCATGTCTATAGACCCTAATTTTCTTTGATATAAAGAAATAATGTATATAAGGTAGTTAACACAGTCCCTGGCATGGCATGCAGTCACTGTTCATGAATGTTTGCCAATACTAGTTGTATTTATTTGACATGAGCTAAGTTAACTAAAAAGGAATAACAAATCCTGGAACCTAATGAATAGGAATTAGACATAACCCAACCTTCTGAAGAAGAATAGTAACACTTAAGGATAATAGTGATAGATGTGAGGGTCAATCTGGCTGCGACATCTGTCACCCCATTGATCGCCAGGGTTGATTCGGCTGATCTGGCTGGCTAGGTGGGTGTTCCCTTCCTCCCTCACCGCTCCATGTGCGTCCCTCCCGAAGCTGTGCGCTTGGTTGAAGAGGACGACCATCCCCTATAGAGGAGGATCATTCTTTGGTCAAGGGTATACAAGTAGCTGCGCTCCCCTACTAGAACCTCCAAACAAGCTCTCAAGGGTAATAGTGATTTTCAGTTCTGCCCATGGTAATTATCCTCAGATATTACCTTCACACCAGTGCCCACTTGACTTTCAGAAGGACTATCTAGGGGCTGGCAGAGTTTCTCAAGTGGCTCAAGAGCACCTGCCTAGCAAGCATGAGGCCCTGAGTTCAAATCCCAGTGCCACATAAAAAGAAGAAGAAGAAGGATTATCTAGCCTTTTTTGGTTAACTTCAGAGAATGAAGTCAGGCATGAAGTCTGAGATAAGATTATCTTAGACCAAACCTCACATTTACTTTTCAGAGTGCTTTCAACATGCAGGAAAGATGAGCCTGAAGAACCAGAAAGATGGAGATAGTGATAATAGAAACCCTGAAGAAAGAGATGGATTTAGAAGGGAAGCAACTACTAGACAAATATCCACAAAGACATTGCAGTGTGCAAAGTTTGCATGAGCCTGGAGGGGGGATGTGTGTCATAGCAGTCAGCTCTGTCTCCTCTGCATACACCTGGCAATGGATCTGGTGTAAACTGATGAATGCTAAAGAAAGGGAAGTAAGAGAACTTGAAAGTAATTTCAAAAGGTATTCATGGTGAGGAGAGAAAGCATCGGAAAGAGAGGGCAGCAGCAGCTGAGTAGAAATCCAGGATGGCAGTGTCCCACCTGACACCTTGCGGGTCACCCCTGTTTAAGACCAAGGCCAAAGAGAAATTGCAGGTGCCAGTGGGACAGTCAGCATGGAAATGCACAAGCAAAGGCAGGTCTGAGAGGCCAAGGCCAGAGAGTAAAGATCCAGAGTACAGAAGGTCAAGTCATTTGCGCCTGCAATTGACTAGGAAACCTGGTTTCCAACAGATGCCACCCATCTTTTGTCTTTATGGATAGCCCTGGTGTCCGAGTATGTAACTGCTTCTGAGAAAGTGGACTGCAGATGTACTAATTTCATGATGGGACAGGATAAGAGTTGTTGGGATTAGCAGGAGATCCTTCCACTAAAGCCAAAGCTATCCGTGTAGTTCATGGTGTTAGAAAGAAAAAGAAATGCAGGGGAGTTGGGGAAGAGGTGCTGTATGGGGGTCATCAGTAGTTTTCATAGGGTAAAAATGAGGTTGAGAAATTTGGAGTAGGAAAGATTGATGGGTTTTAATTTAATTTTAGCTGAGGCGTCACCCTAGGTCCCTTGGGTTCATTAGTTCATTTTATAGAGCCCTGTCGCAACAGTATTTCTCCAAGATTCAGAAGAGGGTAAGTAAATCTCCTGAGTTCTCACAGCTAAGTAAGGAGCAAAGTCAAGATTTTAACACAGACATCTGACTGCAAAGTCCAAGGTTTACCAATTCTCCAAAGAGATGAGACCCACAGAGAAGAGAAGGGTTGTGCCTCCCATTCAGGACCAGAACTAGATGTCCAAAAACACCATCTACAGTCAGTACAAGTGGCCCATTCCTTGGATTTAGATTCCTCAGTCCTGTTTGTCCTTGCCTGTTGCACTCAATTGTTACGAGAATCTCGCAGTGTTGGTTTTTTTCTCAAATGAGGACATGCTTTGGTGGGCATAAACCATGAGTCTGCTGAGAGGGAAGTGTTCCATTGCCAGTGGAGGAGAAGCTCAGAGCATGGCGGACAGTGTGGGGCCTGCATGGCAGTATCTTTTCCTTTTCTCTGAACTGGAAAGGAAAGCCAGCCTACCTGGGGTAGGGTGGGCATGTTTTGGGCAAGGACCATGTAAGGAACCTTAAATTGATGTTGAATATGAATTCTTTCCATGAACACAGTCACAGAATTACTCACTGATGGGAATCAAAAATAGTTTTGTTGTTTAAAAATCCTCACCCAGCTGATCATGGTGATACACGTCTGTAATCCCAGCACTCAAGAGACTGAGACAGGAGAATTGAGTTTGAGGCCAGCCTGGGCTCCAGAGGGAGACTCTGTCTTAAAAAAACAGCAAACAAAAAAATTCTCAAGAAACTCTTCTAAATGTCCTATTTAATTTCTCATGTTGTGGTATAAGTCTGTTTCACCTTCCTTGGGGATGATGAAAAAGAAGTGGTTGCCATTCATTTAGTAAGCTTTGAGATCTGGGTCTCTTCATAGACCTTTTTTTTTTTTAATGACTTACCCTAGCTTTTCCAAAGCTGTCATCCACTTGGAATTCTTTAACAAAGTTGTTAACTGTTGAGAAACAGAAACATGAAAAATAAGCTGACAAAAAGAGTTGACAGTCTGTTAAGTCGATATTAGCAAAAATAAATGAAGGTTTTTGTTTTCCTGATCTACTTTAAAAATTAATACCTTACTCTAAAATCTTTTGCTTCTGCCAGTTGGAATTTGAACTTGCGCTAATTCTCCCCCACCTTAATTTTCTTGTTATCTAAATTGCTCTTGCTGCCTGTGTGACCCAGGGGGCCTGGCTTCCTATTTTTCTAGCTAACACTTACTACAGACTGCATTAATTTAACAGATGATCTCATCAAGATGCATGCATGTTGACTGTGCCCTGTGAGTCTGAATTTAAACCTATCAATCTCAAAAGAACCATAACCCCTTTTTAGCAGCTCTGCTCAACATCAAAGGGTTAATTTCCATTTCCAAATATGTCTGAAAGTAGCAGAGACAAGCACAGAGAAACTTTCTTCTGATGCTGCTTTAATTCTAATCATTTCTCTAGAAATCTTATGTGTTGTCAAATGGGGACCCATTTGAGAATTGAGTTTACCTTGCAAGAGAATTGACAAATGATTAGTTTTTCTGCTTTTATCATTCATTTGTTAACACAGGTGAATGTTTTAGCACCCCATTTTCCTGCTCAGTAAGGCTGCCCTAAAATTCTAGCTCTTGCTGTGAAGCCTAAGATACTCAGGTAGGGAAGGAGACAGGACACTTCTCATACATCTCTTGTGTCAGCTTCTATTGCATTTGGTTGGGAGCAGTGTAAACTCCAAAAACCCAAAGTGATGCACAGGTTGAACAAGCAGGAATTTCAGGTGTTTCAGGTGTTGACCACTTCTCACCTTTTGGGACCTCCTGCAGTCCATCCTTCAATTCCCCCTCTCAGTGATTGCCCTAACTGCTGTTACGGATAGGGACAACTGAGTCTATTCAGTAACTGCTTCCTGCTGACAGAGGGTGATGAAGGGGCCCACAGCATCAGAACTGATCACAGGAGGGGTTATCAAGGGGACCGCGACAGTAGATCATTTTTATCTCCATCGGGGGGGCATCTGCAGTTTGATAGATTCTAGGCAAGAGGAAACAAACTTGACAAGTAAGTTTAAAATGCAAGGCCCAAACACAAGCAAGAGAATAATGTCGACCATAGGCCCCAGAAAGGATAGGAGCCAAGTCCTGGAGGGGAGCCA